ATAAAAAAAAAATGTATTTACTTTTCTACTAAAATAATCATGTAAGGGAAACAACAATGTCAATTAATTGTTATTTGTTCTTTTACACGGTTACCTCCCTAAACAGCAGTGCCCGCGCCAGGTTATTTAGCGTACTAGACAAAACTTATTAAAACGCCGCTTCCACACAAATTAATTACTAAAATATAAGCATAAGAAACTAATTAATTAAAAGGGAAATATTAATAATTAATTCATCATCAATTGCATACACGTTAAAAGTAGGCATCAAAATCAAATTTTACTTGCCTCCTTCGTCGCAAAAGTTTGTACTCCTTCCTTCAATTCCATTTTGCTAGCATAATCACATTATATTGAAATTGTTGCTAAGTCCACGAGTCTACTTTGTACTTTGCGTCATAGCCCACCCAACCTCTCCCCCCGCCTTACCTTACAAAATTTCAAGTGCCTCCCCTCCCCCCTCTCCCGGGAGAAATAAGTCTGGGGGAAAAAAATTTAAAAACCCAGATTTTTTGTGGTGTTGGGCTCTCTACAGACCTCCCAAACTTGACTGTCTTTAGTTATAATTGTAAAATGTCTATATTGTGTGATTATGTAATGATTTTTTGTTCTTGAAAAATAAAAGTTTACAAATGTTATAGATTCCAGCCTACAATTGTTATATATGAATCCTTTAGGAGAGGGTGAAAACTGTGAACAAGACACTTTATTAATTAGATATTTATTATGCGACTAAGACGATTTTAGACGCATTTCTTGTATTTGTATGTCTACTAACATTAAGTATTGCAATATTGATGTATTTGTTTTTCAACTTGATAAAGCAAGAAAATCAACAAAACTATTTTGTTTAGAAATTCTACTCTATATAATTTTTACAATAGCAAATAATAACTTAAAGTTGTATTTATAAGTAAGCGGTCAACCTAAGTTGCAAGAATTTTCAATTACTGAAAAGTTAAGCAACTAAACATCACCCATTTTGAAATCCAAACACCACAATGTTATTCAAGGGAAATAACTTTCACAAGAATAGATAAATTGACCAAGTGTAACTAAGGCATGCTTGAAAAACACAAAAAAAAAACGCTTTAAATTTCAATACATAATAACCATAACAAATCGTTTATATTGCATTTGTAATTTTGTCAACATAATATACATATTTACCAATTGACTACTTAACTGTAAGTTTTGTTTGAAAGTCTAAATACTATAGCTTTATTATAACGTTCTTCTAATTAATTTTCATGTAATATGTTCAACTTCATTCCAATCGTCGTGAATGTTGCATTTATTGAAAGTTTATTTTGGGACCGAAAGAATCAAATTCGTGAACTGTTTAAGACATTGCCATAATTATTTGTTAATACAAACATTATGTTTTGAAAAAAAAATTAAAATGTATGGTTAGTTATACATGCAACCTACGTAATATTATATATTAATACTTTAACAGTGGTAATATAGATTCCAGTTATAGAACGCCTACCTTTCTTTGCAGTGTGTTCCGTCCTGAATTGAAATCATCCAACTTACGATAAACTCGACTACTCTACATAATCTACTACATTCACAACAGATATCAAACTTCGATACCTAAACATAACAAGACTCGATGCTCCAGAACTACGACACCAACTCGCTTAACTTCACCAAGCTCTCCAAACGGTACTCCCAATCAGTGGCGTAGTGAGGTCGGGTGTCACCCGGTGCGGCACTAAATGGTGTCACCCCCCAGAGGCGTAGCGACCCTTCCCGGGAACAAACTTTCGATTCCCCCCCCCCCCCCCAAGTTTTTCTCTATATATTTTACTATTTTTTGCCTTGGTGTCCCCCCCCCCCTTAAATGGTGTCACCCGGTGCGGTCCGCACCAACGCCCCCCTCGCTACGCCTCTGCTCCCAATCAACAAAGATTTAACTGGACCTACTACTTCAAGAAAACTGTAATCACTCTTCGATACCTTAATACCGCAAGGCTCAATACTCCCGAACTCCAGAACTGCGATATCTTTACAAAACTCTATACACCAGAAAGTCAGAGAAAACGAGACTTACAAGCCCTATTAAAAACCAAAATCGCATGTGTTTTGGAACGCCCAGTCATGCGCTTGAGCGATCTTTAAGTCAACATTAAAATTAGATAACCGTTTTAAAATGTTCGTAAAGTAAATTACGAACTTATTTAATCGTTTTCTACATCAATTATGTGACACCAAATTAAAAGGGCAAAGTGACTGTTAAAAGTGCCCCGTCCTTTCCAAATTAGGGTGGTGGGGTTGTATTCTCACCATCGCGAATAAATATAGCCCTATATAGGCCTATTTTGTGGGTGGGGGCGCAAAATTCATAGTTCACTACTCCTTTGTATATTACCATCCATAAATTATAAAAGATAATCAAAGTTTTTAATTATTAGGTACTTTTTTGATAATAGCGATTAAACCTTTTTGCGCCCCCATAGGGAGGGCGCCCTAGGCGACCGCCTAGTTCGCCTTATAGGTAGCGCCGGCCCTGCTCAACAGGCATTTATTTTTACTCAAGTATTTTTACTTTCTCGTATATACGACGTAGGCTATAGAGAAAGTCTTGTAATGGTGCAAAACAAAATCGTGATTTTTGCAAATCTCGATGTTTAACAGCTCCCTGAGTCGGAAAAACTTAGTTTTGCAATCTTGTCCGTATGTGTGTGTGTGAATGTGTGTGTGTGTGTCTGTGTGTATTTGTCTGTAAACACGATAACCTGAGTACCGTTACAGCTAGGTTAATTAAATTTCATATATAAGTGCTATATCAAAATCGTGGATCCGTATCAACTTTTGAGCAATTTCCGATAACCGGAAGTGGAACATTTTCTGTTATGAATTTTTCAAAAGCCTATAACTTGAATACTGTTTCAGATAGATAAATTAAATTTCACATGTAAGTAAAAGTTCTAATTGTCTGCCTTCTGTCAAATTTTGAGTAATTTCCGTTGACCGGAAGTAGTAATTTTGCTATTTCCGATTTCTCAAAAAATGCATATGAATACTAATAATATTCCGGATTATTATGTACATTTAATTTGGCGTTCATTTGGTGTGCAAGTCTTTTTTCTACAAGATTTTATTCTATTCTAAAAAGTTTAAGTATTTAAAATGGATTAAAAATCATGTATATATCCTGAGTTGTCATCCCCTGTTGTTTCATAAAAGAATATTCGAGAAAGTTTAGGGGAGATCACTCCCGGTTTATTTAGATACACTAACCTGATTACTTCTAAAAATCTAGGGCAAATGTGTGACCTTTGTGCATTATAATGTAGCTTCTATCATTTACATGGTGAATTTGTTGGATGGTTTACACTTGACAAAGCAACGTGTATTCAATTTGTTTATTTACACTAAACATAACAACTTGTGTCCAATTTGTTTATTTACACTAAACATAACAACTTGTGTCCAATTTATTTATTCAAACCTGACAAAACAACTCGTGTTCAGTCTATTTTTTTTACACGTGACATCGTTCTCGCGAGAACAAATAAACAATAGAAAATTTAAAAATTTGTTTTGTACAAATTACCATGGCACTGTATAGAACTATGTACAGTATAACAAGCTAATAAATCAAAACAATATGTATATATATATATATATATATATATATATATATATATATATATATATATATATATATATATATATATATATTTAAAAACTGATAGGTTATTTTTTAAAAAGGTACAATTAAATATTTTACGAATAAATTACAGAAATCAAACAATTTTCTTTAAAAATTCAAACAAATCAGAACTCAGAAAAATAGAAGAAAAAACTATCACCATGCATTCTGACCTGTTTCGACCAACAGTCTTCGTCAGAGGTAGTTTTTAAAACAAATTTTAAAAAAAAACGTTTCCACTAAGTAACTGGAGAGTAATGCACACATTTATTTTTGGTGCGTGTTTGAAGATGCAATCATAAAATAAAAGATTTAAATTGTACAAAGGATTCATAACTAACCCAAGGAAGATTTTAAAATTTCATGTCGATAGAGATAGCCTAGAGGTAGAGTGCTAATCTGCTAACCCGAAAGTCTCAAGTTCGAATCCGGGTTCGAATCAGTAGAACGTCCTTGAGTCCAACCAGCTCTGATTTAGAATCAGAGGCCACGGCATAGTGCTGACCACACAGAGCCCCATGGACTGTCTGGTTAAAAAAAGAGAACTTTTAATGCCAGCTGATATGACTGCATAACCCTTTAGCCTAAACCTAAACCCAACAGAAATTCTTACAGTATAACTTATGTTTTCTCTACCCTAATCTTACATAGAAAATAAATAATGTCAACCTGGAATACTCGTTGCTAAAAAAATAACAAAATTAATTTATTCTATATATAGGCTCACCTTCAATCAATATGTTGAAAGTAAACCAGCTATCGTGTCATATGGAGAGATAAAGGTTACAATACTTGAATTTTAAAGTCAGTTATCAATTGTAAATGCATGTAAACAACGCGTAACTTCTTTGAAAGGCTTAGTTAGTAAAAAACTAAAAACAAGTAGTGTTAGTATCCTCACAAATTAAAGACAAATACATGTAATTGTAAAGACAATTACATGTAAATGACTTTAATTTTACTATCCGTTTATTTTTTATTACTGTAGCTATAATTTTTATTTAGCTAAAAACTAAAAACCCGTTTGCATTAACCACAATCCGGAATAAAACAACACCCAAATATTGTAACAGCGGTAAGTAATTTAGCTGCACCATTAATAATGAGACCAGTAAAACGTTTAATTAAAACAAAATATTCACTTGGGTATAGTTTAGTTTTTTTTTTCACTTATGTCTATTATAATGTAATATAACTGAAGATTTACATCGTATTGAATCTCGCCCTATCGTCTATTGGTTCCATGTTTCTGCAACATACTGTGCCTTGTCCTTTTGACAGCGTTATGAGTATGATAAAATATACTTGTATGACAAGACTTTCATGACGCGAGTGGTCCTTATAGGACATTGTTTTCCCCATGACGCTATAGGACATTGCATTTTATGTACTTCAAGATTGGCAGTTCAACTCTGGTCTATATTCTACACATGAAAACTTTCACAAATAACCAACAACGCTCTGTCAATACCAGTTTTACGTTGGGCTACTCTTTTCCTCCATGGTGTTCGTTAAACTTTGGTCGTAGACAATGACCCGGTTTCGGAATCTGTCGTAGAGTTTCTGGAATCCGGAGCATAGCGCCCACATGAACACATGAACCAGCGGGATGAATATGAAGTTACTCAAAGAGGAGACGACCAATGTCCGACCTGGTTTCGACCAATCAAGGATCGAATAGATATAGCGGTCTCCATTCTGATTGGTCCCGTCCATGCAGTAGTAGATGGCGCTGAATAAGGTGTAGATAACTCCAAAGGCAACAGGGTAGATGAAGTGGAGTAGCCTCAGGGGCACTTTAGTGACGGCCATGTTGAGAATCACGTAGATGGCAACGACAGCGTGGGTATTAAATCGAATGGCGGTTAACTCTTTTCCTGGAAACAAACACAAAATATTTATAAAATCATGTTTTCACTTTAATATTGTTTGATACAATTTCTCTACAAACTTCTAGTTATATTTGTATTTTTGGTTACTATTTGTAAGTAGTGGGGTGTTGTAAATAAACCAAATGTGTACCAGTATGCTTTATAATGTGTTTCCTTTAATTCCCTTTCGTTAAGAGAACTTTGTTTAGCCCTACTACCCCTGCAATCTATTATTTAGCTAGAGGTTAGTTTAGACATAGCATTTACTCCTTACAAATATGTATAGGAAGTCTGGATTATTAATTCTTAAACATATGCATGTACACAGTTCCATTAATCAGTACTGAAAAGTGTATATAAATAAAAATACATATATATATATATATATATATATATATATATATATATATATATATATATATATATATGTGTGTGTGTGTGTGTGTGTGTGTGTTTGTGTGTGTGTGTGTGTGTGTGTGTGTGAAAGAGAGAGAGAGAGAGAGAGAGAGTATCATTATATTGAGGAGTCAGGCCTTAAAAACCGTATGGTGAAAGCTAATGATGTGTTATTATTTTAATTTCGCGAGCTCATTAAACTCAAAACTAAAAAAAAAAGGAAACAAAAAAGCATTTTCTCTCGTTTTAAAATTTTAGCACTTTTAGAACTAGGGCAAGGGATTCAGTTCGTTTTCGTTTTTTGTTATTTTCTAAAAAAAACCCCAACTACAGAAACTCTAAGAGTGCTAATTAGTTCGTATTTTTTGTCTTTCACACTTGCGGAAATGTGAACATAAAATTCCTATTTTAACTTTATATTTTTTTCGCCTTTAAATTCACAGAACTAACAAAAACCATCTGGTTTAGGGTTATGTTTACGCTGAAACATCAAAGAGTTCTCTAGTCTGGAGTTGAGCACATTTTGTTGACGTTTTCAAACAATACTGTGATGGGAGATAAGAATGTTACGAAAGATTATCCAGGGAGATAAACTCTGTTTTCTTCACTACCTGGCGATAGAAGGGGAGCGAAGTCGACTCTTGTTAACCAGCAAGTCATTAGAAAATTCATTATTCAAAAGGCAGTTATAATTATCGGAAAAAATTATTGTTAATTTTTATATTATCCGTTTAATTAGAATTGTAATTTTTTTTCATGTAACTAAATTTTAATAAATATTTTAAAAATGCGTATTTTTTACACTAAACTGGGTTTATTTATTGGCAATAGACATCAAAGGGAACGTCAGATCTAATTATTGAACGATGTTGTGACTTGTAGTGTCAGTGTATGTTATGTAGGAACTGTGTGTTGTGACACCTTTAGCCAGATTACAGGCGTCTCTTATTATTAATATCGTCTTCAGCTTCACGATTACGCTAATCTCGACATAATCCGTTTTGCTATAATCCTCATAGTCCTGACACTCCAGTTAGTCTAGACACACTAAAAATATTAATATTTCCTGAGTAGAGAGCGAGAAACAACGCCAGAATATTACTGCATAGATTGCCATCGTTCTATCGTCAAACGAAATTATTTTTCCATTAGTTGTTTTTGGTTCACTAGATTACAAGTACATATCATGCGCAGAATGAATTTCTTGAATGTTTTTCTATTTAGTTATTTTTTTCGTCAAGAGGATTTAGCCTTGGCCACTAAATACAATCATGGTTGACTAATTGGCAAATCAAAATGCTCAGAATTTCTCGTTTCTGTTTTAGCTCTAGCTTATTTTTGTTTCTTTTTTTTTTAAATCGTGACTTGCGCGCAAGAGTTCACCATCATAACAAGCCACACCTGCGGTTTCTTACCTGCTGGGATCTGCCTGGGAATTATTGTATTTTTAACTCCTGCAACAATCACCTGCCAGACACCGCTGGGTGCCGGCATTAAGTTAATTGGTACTTGTAATTAAAACAACAGTCACGTGATGCAGGCTAAAGAGAATTCATTAACAGTAATGAGTCTCTGATTGACAGTAGTACCCATGTTTCGTCAAATAGTTTGGTTACATACATGTTAGGCAAGATTGGAACTACCATACCGCCAGACATCTCAGTGTATGAGGCACACAATGAGTTGGGGGGACCAAAAATCGTAGAAACTTTTTTTTTAAACGAATGGTTGAGGCAGAATTCTTTTTCTTCTACATTAAAAAAAAACGCTGGTATTGGAGACATTTTTTTCTATGACCATCAATGACCATAGCAGGAGAGGTCGCCCAATATATGATATACTTGAAATACGGTGTTTCTTTGTAGCGTTGATTAAAGACTCGAAATCAATAGTAAAAATGTATGACGTTCTTCGTCGTTAGCAGGACAGTGGGCTGGATAGCCAACGATGGTACGCGCAAATATCGACAGCGTGTTGAAGAGCTGGTTACATAAACTACCCCCCTCCCCACAACACACACCCCTCCCACCGTGAGAAATGCAGAGGCGTAGTGAACCCTCCCGGCGCCCGGGGACAAACTTTCAATTTGGCGCCACCCCCCCCCCCATACTTTTTTTATATTTATAATTCAAAATAGCAACTAAAATGAGCATATTTTGGCACCCGGGGACATATGTACCATCCCCCCTGTCGCCACGCCTCTGGCGAAATGTCAGTATAGAAGAAATGTACTTATATAATCTATACTGAGCTAAATACCTAGTTTAAAAATATTATTAAGCCAATTAGAATTGTAATTGCATTTGATTGTTTCGTGATACAATTAATTATTCAACAAATGGCTTATTTCTTGACTAACGTTTGGTATCAACTTTATGATGGTTTACACGGTGAAATCGGTTGCATTACGTTTTCAGGGGCGATAACTGAACTGCTAAATAGCTTGACGGAGCTGAGTTAGTTGTGCTTTTCGGGATATTTAAGACGTATGCTTGTTAAAATATTTAAGACATGTGTTTGTTAAGACATTTAAGACATGTATTTCTTAAGACATTTAAGACATGTGTCTGTTAAGACATTTAAGACATGTGTTTGTTATGACATTTAAGACATGTGTTTGTTAATGCATTTAAGAGGTGTTTGTTTTAAGACATTAAAGACATGTGTTTGTTAAGACATTTAAGAAAGATAAAACATTAGTGACTGAAACTGTGCACGTCATTTAAATGTGCCGTGTACTCACCCTTGTAGACCGTTGTCCAGTACCACAGACAGACCATCATGGCACCGGTCACACACATTGTGTAGAGCAGCCACATCACCTGGACATACCTGGGCAGTTTGGTGCCTGGGGAATGCATGGATTCACATCAAATGTAATCTTGAAGTAGGTTATATAAAATTCTACTCCTAGCTAAGATTTTAAATAATACACGTTTATACCTAGACAGCAATACATGGATTCACGTCAAGGTAATCTCGAAGTAGGTTATATATAACTTTACACCTAATAAAGGTAAAATGAAATCCGTTTATTCCCTTATAGTGATTCGGTAGTAGAATAGCATTTAAATGTAGAGATTTTTCACATGTGTTAAATAAAAGATCAAGTGCACACGGAACACTTCATCTGGTTGAAGTGAACTTCATCTGATTCTCTAGCCTCAGCACGTCAACGGTAGTGTGGACAGCACTCTGCTCCAAACGTATACCAGCTGAGTTGACTCAGAGACATCATAAAGTCTCGAGGATGTGAACTGAACTCGAAACGTTCGGGTTTTTAATCGTGCGCTCTACCGCTAGACCAAGACATCCCGATGTTTATTTTAAGTGGTGTGTCTGCTTACAGATTTTATAATAAGACATATCAGTTATTATAATGTTATGAGTTATAATGATAATGTAAAATAAGACTTTTATAATGAGAATGTTATGAGACTTATGAGACATCCGTTTTAAGACTGATATAAGAAGACTATTATAATGAGTCTATTATAATAAGACTTGTAAAATGAGACTTTGATAATAAGACAAACCATCAGTTTTAAAATGTATAATCAGTCTCATAAGATTAATCTGACATATATTCGGTGTCGAGGGTTATAATACTCATTATTCAACAATTTCACATTGTGAACACATTTTACATACATTCATTTTATATGTTCACATTTCTGACTTAAATTTCCTTTATGTGCTTGAGACACTACATGTCTGATTAACAAATTGGTGTACTTTGTTCCAGTCTTTGAAACGAAAACATAAGAAGAAAACATTTTATCAGTGCTGGAATAACTCAATAGAAAAGCATCAAAGCGCCACTGGATTGTTTGAAATTGAATAACACGGTGATGTTCGAGCTACTAGCAAGTTTAACCCGCAGCAATGGACGGGTTTGAGCGCCTCTTGTAAAACCTGTTTCATCTCGAGTGGTTTGTGTTAACTTTCACTTGGTGCTAGAGTTAGGGGAGCGAACACTGTCTGGGTGATTATGTTAACAAAGTGAAAACATGAATTGTCGTAATTTTATAGCAAGATTTTTTTTCCGTGTACATTTAGTGGATAGAATTGGCTTGAATTGCTTTTAGGGAATTATAAAATTTACTCACAAAAAATGTGTATTTTAATGTATCGTTCGTATACATATGCAATCAGTGTTTCTTCCAAGCATCTCTTCAGAGGGAGAGGGGGGGATGTGTGCCCCCTCCCCCTCTAAGAGAGAAAAATGTCTTTGTGTGTCTGTGTCAAAATACATTACCTAAATCCTACTTGTTAAGGATGCATTAACTGTATCTATATTAGCTATTAACTATTAAAATTAATACATACAATTATATACGATTCATGTGTAATTAAAATTGTTTCAGCTAAAATTCATCAAACCCCCAAAACATTCCTAAAATGGCACCCAGGTCAGATGAAAAACGGCCATTTGGTTTCATGTGATATTGCTAAAAATAACCCCACGCGTATCGCATCACAGATTAAATCGGCGACAGAAAAAATTTTTAAGCCAGATAATTTTTTTAAAACCCTGGTGAGATTTATGTTTTAATTTCTCGAGATGCCGCAGTGGAAGATGAGTCGTGTTTTATGATACATGTCGTAATGTTTCGTTTCGTTGCTTGTCTGAGAGCCACAGACAATGTTGGTTTTAATGATAAGTCAACTTTTTAATAAAACCTTGTACATTTTTAATTTTTAATTTTTTGTTCGGCAGAAAACGTTACGAACTATATTGTGTTAGGCAAAAGTAAAATAAACTTTTAAGCTTGAAGGTTTATAGGGGATATATAGAAGGTATGTGAACAAATTGTGTGAATTGTATGTCACAATTAACAGATTTCAATCACAATATAGTTGTGTCACTCTTCATTATGAGAAATAAGATATTTTCAAAAGATACTTTTTTTGCTGCCTGTACAGGTTCATTCATGTTGCTAGTAAAGTCACAAACATTGTATTTACACAGTGTTTATTAATATAAGTGATGGTTTAAAAAATAGTTCCTCGCGTCCTTTCATTTACAAAAGGTTTTTTTTTATATAAATTTATTAGCATTGGATGTTCGTAAAAGATGTTTGTTTAAGGTTTAAGTTAGGGTTAGGTTTAGAACCAGGCGTTGCGTAAACCTGTGTGTTTTTAGGTGTATGGTTTAGGTTAGTTTCAGGTGCTAATGTATTGTCAATTCGGCACCAGCAGTACGATGATGTAGATAAGACTCGATTCATTATTAACTATCGCACGAGAAGGATGACGTATTTTCCTTGTCGGGTTATTTCTATAGTTAAGATAACACCCAGAAACATCTATTCATACCTGGAAAATGTGATTCAATCAATTTACACACGAGAGAAAATGATTTGCATAACAACTTGTAAAGATAGCGTTCAATGAATCACTCCAAGATAAAGGTCAAGGATCCGTCTGCAAGTAGTGCAGATTGTTGATGCTTTTTTTTTAAACAGTCTTTGTGTCGCTATTGTCTTATGTGGTGATTGTATTATAGGTAGAGAACTCCGTTAATTGAGTGTTTGTAAACCTATTTTGGTTAAATGGAAAAATTACTTTTTCTATGAGATAGGACTAGGGTTTTATTCGATGAGGGGAATATAGGACTAGGGCGTTACTGGATGAGAGAATAGGCTACCTTTCTATTTAGTGGAAGAAGGTTTTTGGATTATATTCATCGGTTTATTAATTGTACAGGAAAAATATGTGAAAATCTATAAAAAATGTGTTGTAGAAAATAATTTTAGCAATTTCTTTTTCTTTGTTTAACTGAATGGAATTGTATCCAACCAAATTATGTATTACATATCAACATGTTATTCACGTCATCGCTCGTTGACTTCGATTTCAGCTTTCTCTTTTTTCTTGTTTTGCTTTCTCCAAGCAACAACAGGCTGCAAGGCAGCAGATGTTGAAGTATGGAGTTTCCCTACTAGATAAATTCTTGTCTTCAGCTAACGAGCTTCATCTGCCCAGGAATTTTTAGTTATTAAAGAATTCAGTTTAATATATTTAAGTTTTAGGAACAGTTGAGTAGTAAATTCATTTTAGTTGTATAAAGATTTAAGTAATATAACCATTGCTGTTGACTTGAAGATAGGCTAAAGTTTATCTTTAATTGCCCGGATCTTGTCTACGTCAGCTTCCGGGGTTAGTCACGTGCTAATCATCACCGGAAGTTTGTTCACGGTGTGAGTATGTTTCAAACAAGCTCTCACCACGATGCCGGTGGCACGCGATGTATTTTTGTAAGCCTTAGGTCAAATCGGCATAAACTGTTGACAGCACTATAACAGTGGGGACTTGGGTGGCCAGATTTTTTCTAGAACTTTTCTAGAACTTTTTTCTAGAACTTTTAATACCTGCAAGAAAATAACTGCAACTAATCTATCTACTGATAATCAATTAATATTCGTAATGACTAGATATGAAAACAATAATTCATAATTGTAGACATGAAACAATAATTATAAAGCATCAGAAATTGAATAGGTGAAAAAGTGAAGTTCACTTTCAAACATAACGCTCGTTGGGGCACGCGAAGTAGGGTTTATATATTTCTGTGACTGCGGCATATGAAAGGATAGTGTGGTCAGCATTATGCCCCGCCGCCTATACTTCCCATAATGTGAGTTAGGTACCCATTGGAGCTGGGTGGACTCAGGAACTATTTACAGACTTGAACGCGGAATAGAACTCGAGACTTTCGTGTTAGCAGTCTAGCGCTTTACCACTTGGCCATGCCTGCACATAAAAAATGAATACTTTGACTAAAAAGAGGGTACTTTGTGTATACAATTAAGTTTCCTTAATGGTTTGCTAAAAAGAAGAACTTCTTGAAATCTAGACTCCAAGAGTAATCCTATTATCTGGCATAATAAATACACGTTAGCATAAATAGGTTGATAGTTGCCCAAAATGATGCAAATTATACAACCTAAAAGAGTTTGTGCTTTTGTGATAATTGTACTTTTATTAAAGTTTTTTTTTTGTTATATTACGTTACCGATATACCCAAAAGATGATATTTTCTAAGGTTACAAGAAAAATGTAGAGTTAGCTTTCGCATCAAATATTTCCGCATTTAGATCAAAAAGTCACAATCGCCGGCTCAAACGTAACGATAATTCACCTGGGCATGCAGGTAACTTCACGTCCGGCTCTGGGAGCAGGTAAACTCAAAACCCGGCTCTGGGAGCAGGTAATCTGCTGCTCCTAGCACTACGGGGGCTGTCGGCTTTTGTAAACCGGCGACACAAAGCAGAAGGTGGGGTGTTCTGTGTCTTGTGAGGTGGCCTACAAATACGCGGGAAGGGCACGAGAAAGGGGGATTAACAGAGGGGGGATGGGGGGGGGGGGGGCAGGGAAATTAACAGCAGCCAAATTGGCAATAAACTAAAAAAACGGAAGTGACGACAGCGGATTGTCAGCAGTTTCCGAGTTGATAGCGGCTAGCGTGACCGTGAAGATAAACATGGGCTTGTGTCTGCCAAGACAAGATTTTACTTTTAGCCTGTTGTTTGCAGGTGGCAGGCCATAGCAGAACCCGTAGGAGGTAGGCCATCACAGAACCTGCAGGTTGTAGGCCATTTCAGAACCTGTAGGTTGTAGGCCATCGCAGAACCTGTAGGTTGCAGGAAAACGCGAAACCTATAACTTAGCCGTACACCGCTATTTAACTTCATAGAACGCAATTTAAAAAAAAACGGATAACATATTTTTTGCTTCTTTAAGAGGTTCTTCTTCTTCTTCTTCTTCGTTCTTAATTATTAGTGTTGAAGGGGATCGAGATTTATCTGCCAGTGAGAGACTTTGTTCGAATAATAAACCATGAGCTTTTTGCCGACTCGACCACGCCTCCAACACAATTAAGCGTTACGTGTCAACTGGTTATGCGCCATTGAGGCCATTGACTCCGATTTCAGCCTGCTTTTCTTTTTGGATTTGCTTCCATAGCCTTTGTCCAACCAAGAACAAACTACAAGGCAGCAGTTGTTTAATTTTGGAGTTGTCTCTCCTAGAAGAGTGGCTGTCCCCAGCTAACGAGCCTCATCTGCCCGAGGGTTCGAACTCGAGACTTTTCGGTTTAGCAACCATGAGCTTTACCGACTCGACCACGCCGAACTCTTTTTTTTAGAGGTTGATTTGTTTACAATTTTTACAAAGTAAAATTAAACGTATTCCAAACTATTATGTTTATTTTAGTTAAGTTTTATTAATATGTCAAAGAAAAATAAATAAATCATTATTACATTTTTAAAGTGCTCTTTGTATAAATAGAGCTAGTAATGTGCGGTAAATTTATTATTTAAATAAATAATTTATTTTAAACTGGGTGTCATGGCGGGATGGAAATTTTCTGACTTGCCCCAGAGGCATTCTCCCACGCATTAGTGCATACCAAACAGATCCTCTAAATCTCAATTCCTTTGTAATTCTTGTATAGCAAGCAAATTCCCTAAGTCTTAATTCCTGTACAATACCTGTATAGCAAGCAGATTCTATAAAACTCAATTCCTATATAGCAAACAAGTTTTATAAGTCTCAATTCCTACATAGCAAGCAGACTTTATAAATCTCTACTGCTGTATATTAAGCAAATTCTATAAAACTCAACTCCTGTAGAGCAGGCAGATTCTCCAAAACTCAATTCATCTATAGCAAGCAGATAAAATCTCAATTCCTGATTATATCTAGATGATCCAATCAATGAAAATTTAGTCGAATCTTAAAACAGATTTCGTTTCTATTTGTTTCAGAATTTTAAAATGAAGGTGTTAATACCCTCAAGCCTAATCTATCAAGTGATAGCTGGATATGCGATTCATGCAATCAGGGTTTCTTTCAGTAATTTTCCTCCGAGAGGCGGTACACTTGAAAGTTGGGGGGGGGGGGGTGGCTATTGAATGTTCCGGATTCTGGACACTGATAAAATATATTATTTTAAATAAAGCATATATTTTTCTATTTAATCCGGGGACGGATTTAGATGTGCTTCGTGGGCAGTGGTCCCCTTCCCCTATCCCCACCCACCCACCTACATACACCAACGGAGCGATGCCCACAGCAAACGCTTTATATAATTTTAGAAAACAAATAAGATTTTACAGTTCGTTTTTCCGTACGGAAATTGATTGCGTTGTTTGTTAACACTCGAATCGCTGCTGTCGTTTCTCTGCAGTGCCTGCTGTGGGTGATTACACTGATAAAGGACATAAACCCACGTCAACACTGATAGCCTACCATCCTAAGAATGCGGCCGTTAAAACTTGGGCAGACGACTCAAGCTCTGGGCAGTCGATAGAAGTATTCAGGCGAGATGGTGCGAAGATGTTACCTTTGATAGCCGTGTTAAAATCACGCATCATTAAAGTAAGTATTTCTTTAGCCTTAATCAAGCGATGAGTGTCTTTCAACTCCGCTCTTTTTTGGATTGAAGTACTTCGCGGAGAATGCTTCGAGAAGAAGGCTTCGCGGAATAGACTTCGCGGAGTAGACTTCACAAGCTGATAAAGCCGTACCTTAAGCAGGCGTTAAGTTAACCTTTGTGGGTCTAGAGCGGTTTGAACTAAAAACTGTGCAGGATTTACAGTTAATTGACGGCCTCGTAAAAATAAATTTCCTATCTTTAGAATGAGGAGAAATTAATTTGAAAGATGTTATTGCTATTCTCTAAACTACTAAGAACCGCAGAAAATTGCTTTTTAGGTCATGTATTTAGCGCAAAGCACTTGAGATTTCACCCCTTTTGAGTGCCAACTACTTTGCAAAATGTTTACATTAGCTTAACACTTATAAAATAAGTTCTTAAATAAAGTCGTTGAAAAATTATTTTTAGATTTTAGAGTTATAGAGTTACGTAACCAGATCTAGACCCTTCAACCCTGACCCCGTTTTAACTTCTCACCTCATGGACCCATTTCGACCCGTCTAGCTCCGCAATACCTAACCTAGGTTCATGTCTTTACCTGTTTGTTAAAATACTCTCCCGTTGGCCCCAGCGTTACTTAACCTTTCCAAGATTAGGCAACCCCTTGACAGTTCTCCAGCCAAGAGTTCTTACCTCCCTTTGCCCCTCTTCACAAGATTCCAGACACCGCTCAAGGGCTAAATACTTTTTTTTAACTCGTCGCTTACTTCCCTTTAGATCCCTAACTCATTAGAACAGGTTCTGACAAATTGTCTGCCCACCAGCAAACGCATTATTTATATTTCTAATGTTACTGAGTCGTATATTATGTTTAGGTATTTGTACTAACGTGTCTGTATGTTTTGCATACACATTTGCATGCCCGTGTATTATATAATAGTGTTCCTCTACGCATAGATAAATATGTGTTTCTCAAGTGTATTTGAAATGTATGCATATAAAACTGCTTACGAAAACGAGCGTGCTAGATTTAACTTTTTTTACGGTTTCAAAAACCTGTCAATAAAACAAATATTTTCAGATTTAGTTTCCTCGTGTTCAGTTAGTTAATCTGTTTATAAAACTAATTAATTAATGTTTCTAGCGGAAAAAATCACTAATAAGCGTCTTGATTTCATCTGTTTACAATTGCACTATGGCGTAGTCTGATTTAAATACACAAAATGTTCTGATGTTTTGATTTTCTTCTTCCATTGCAAACATAATAACACATATTATCTACTAGAAGAATATAAAAACCTGTTTATTTATGTAAGCAGGTTGTATATTTTTTCTCTATCGATAAACAAACGGAAGGGAACTTCTGAATGAAACATCTCGTAATTTTTTTTAAACACGTTGTTCTATATTGGCAGGTATACTCGATGAGCACAAGTGAAGAAAACCCTCGCTTAAGTCCCGCGTGGAATATACTGAGCAAAGAACCCGTAGCTTGCTGAAAGATAAGCTGTTAGCAACATTTGCATCGGACGAAAAATGTGAGGGGTGGGGGTGAGGGGGACGGTGGAGGGGGGGGGGGGGAATTCAACAGCTTTTTGCCTGGTTTGAAAGCAATCAATAATAATGAAAAGTCAACTTAATAATTGAAGTAGTTATTGTTCAATGGTTACCGAATAGCTATGAATAAGTAATAACGTTAAATTAAAAACCAAAAACTTTGTATTAATACAAAACGAGGGAAGCGCAATATATGTCCAGGATTCTTTTGGGTGCTTTTGACGTTTTCGTACATACAAAAGCCTCACTATTACCCGGTTGTATGATCTACGTGCGTTATTTTGTGGCCATTGTGACAGGTTTGCAGAAGGTATGAAGTGTTTAATGGGGTAACTCAAATACTGAGATACTGTCTCAGAAGCAATTCATCCTGAACGAGTAAAGAGAAAACTTACTTTCAAGAGAGACCATGTGACGTTTTAATGGTAGTTAAATTTTAACAGTGGCACAAAACAGAGAGAAACGGAAGTAGGCTAGCAGTTGGTGGGTAGTTAACTGGGCCACACTGACGGTTTAACTGTTAAAGACTTGCAGTTGGTGGGTAGTTAACTGGGCCACACTGACGGTTTAACTGTTAAAGACTTGCAGTTGGTGTGTAGTTAACTGGGCCACACTGACGGTTTAACTGTTAAAGACTTAAGACGGGGTAATGGAGGGGAAATTAAACTGCCAGACTTGATGCTTATAAAGCCATATGATGTTTGCTTTATGTCAGGGTGTGGGGAGGTTTGTGGAACTGGGGGATGTGGAACAAAATGTGGGGCTGGGGTGAAAGGTGGTGGAACTAGAGGTGTGGGAATTATGGTGGAAATATGGGACATGGGGGGGAGGGAATTGCAGACCTAGGCTACGATGGTGTGGTGCTAAGGATGTGTTTAGGAGGGTGGAACTTTACGATGTGGGTAAGGTTGTGGAGCTATGTGAATGTTGGTAGGTTGATGGAACTATGGGATGTGGGTAAGAGGTAATTTAATAGTTTTAGGAAGGTGCTACTTATTCGATTCCTAGATCCGAACTAACACATTATGGACTAACAATCACGCTCTTTACTATTCGACCACGGTATCTTATAGCTAAAATTGATTTCTTAAAATTGCATCTTCTGAAAAACTTCAAATCTGGCAGGTTTTCTAGATACGATGTAAACGGAATCAATAAAAGACAGAGTTAGTTTTAAGTGCGGATAGTGGGTAACCTGCATCTCATACAGTGTATGATCGAATTGGAAACTTTCACACAAAATTATACACTAACTCTTACTATGTATGAACAGATGCTAAGCTTACTGTTAGAATTCAACACAAATTATCTACTTTTTTGGGTATTCAAAGTATTGAGCTATTTTAATTTATGGCAATTAACCGAGAATGCAAGTGTATTATCATGAAGTATGCATTAAAATGAGATATTTGAGATCATAAAATTTATCGAAAACAATGAGTTTAATTAAGGACTAGAGAATAACACAAGTTGCCACATAATACTTAATTGTGTTTGAGAAAACCACCTCTAATATTACAATTAAGGACGCGAAAAAGACAAGATAAATATACATCAGAATTACAACCAGCCAAAAAAAAAAAGCTTTGTATAGAATGTAGGACAGGAGGTAAAGCACGCTAAAAAAATAGGTGCCTAAAATTACTCTCCAATTAAATAACCCCAGGGGGTTCGGGTTATTTCTTGACTCGGATGTAAACAAAGATTAACACTTACATGATGTGGTGGTGCCGTCAGCGCGCCCGTACACCACTCCAACAACAACAGCCAGCTCCAGGATGGTTTCAATCGCGATCATCAGGTAAACCCAGTTGCTAAGGTAAATAAACCACTTGGCAACGCTGACGTCAGAGTCAAGGGCGGCCACTGCGAAGTTTGCGAAGAGCCAGGAGCTGTGGTAAAGGGCCCAGAACACTCGCCAGCATAAGTAAGGAAACGGCGATTTACACTGCAACAAACGATAAGTGGGATGTAAATATAAACAGGTGATATACACCAGAACAAAGAATAAGTGGGATGTAAATATATATATATATTTTTTTTGGGGAGTAGGACTTTTCTGTAAGACTTTTTAAAGGACATTGTAGAGGTGTGTTCGGATGTAAATATATAAATATAAACAGGTGTTTTACACAGACACATAGACTAATTAGAATTGTAAATGTAAAGTGGTTATTTAAAATGAAACAAAAGACAAATAATTATGGTTATTCCACGATGATTTTCAATGAAGCGAAAGATTGCTGAATGTGCATCTGCACTGTCATGTACATTTAAGAAAAGAATAATAAAGCTCAATACGTATTTCAATGCAATAGTCAGACAGTAAAACATATTAAGTTATATTAGATGAGAAAGATGAGAAAGTATATTGAATAAACCGGGAGTAATCTCCCCTAAACTTTCTCGAATAATCTTATATAACTCTACGTGGGATGGCAACTCGGAATATAGACATGATTTTTAATTACTTAAACTTTTAAAAATAGAATAGAATCTCGTAGAAAAAAGAATTGCGCACCAAGTGAACGCCAAATAAAATGTGCATAATGGTGTGGAATATTATTAGTACTTTGTAGATTCACATGCGTTTTTTTTTGGAAAAATCGGAAATTGCGTAAATTACTACTTCCGGTAGACGGAAATAACTGCAAATTTGAGAGAAGGCAGAGAATTAGAACTTTTACTTACAGGTGAAATTTCATTTATCTTTCTGAAATAGTACTCAAGTTATAGGTCTTTGAATAAGTAAAAGTAGAAAAAGTACCACTTCCGGTTATCGGAAATCGCTCAAAAGTTGATACGGATCTACGATTTTGATATAATACTTAAATGTGAAATTTCATCAACCTAGCTGTAACGGTACTCAAGTTATCGGTCCTACACACACACACACATACACACACAGAGACATACGGACAAGATTGCAAAACTATGTTTTTCCGACTCAGGGAGGTGAAAACGCCGAGATTTGCAAAAATCTCGATTTCTTTTTTTTTTTTTGCACGATTACAATACTTTCTCTATACTTCGTCTATACGAGAAAGTAGAAAAGTAACAGTTTTGTCCTAACTACCCTCCAGTCCAAACAGTGCCATTTATATATATATATATATATATATATATATATATATATATATATATATATATATATATATATATATATATATATAAATATATATATATTCAGCATTTTCAAAATGTTATACACATCTATATAATTTAAGAACATACATATTCGTGTCGGTATTTATGTGTCTGCAAGTTAAAGTTTGGTTTGTGTGAATTTGTGTGTGAGAAATTATTATTTTGTATTCAATTTACAATTAACAAATTACAATTCCAGATGTACCAAACATGTAGATGTTGTAAACTTTTAAGGAATAGCACTTAGACACGGATAAGTTGTTTCTATTAAACGATATTAATGTTTTTTTAAATAGCTGAGTTTGAAGTTCCATCCGAAGAACTCTAACCCACTTCGATCCACTTCAACGTAGCAGTGTAATAGCTACGTTGATTCAACATGCACCAGATTTTTATCTTCGCGCATTCGTTCACTCGCATTCCCCGTAAAACGTGAGTTTAATTCATGCTAGGTCAGTCTAACCGTTTGATTTCACGCGCACGAAGCAGGAGTGTGAGCCGATGCTAATTGAGTCAGACACCGCCCGCTCCTACCGTTCACCCCCGCCGTCGTCTGAACGTTTTTAAAGCCCGGGGGAGGGGGAAACACGGGAGGTGAACTTGGAGTAATTAGGGTCGAGATTATGTAGGATGTGTTAGGAGATCAAAAAATAATGGGTAGGGGGGTTCAGGATAAAAGGGGTTGGGGGTTATTTTCTGAAATAAAATGTTACGCTAAGGGAAGTAATACGATAATAAATTCAAGCTTAACTTTTTTTCTTAATTTTAAGGCAAATGAAAATAGACTTTAATTTGTTTTCTCGAATTTCTGAAAATGTAAGGCAATCATGCTGTTGCTATAAATATCGTCGTTGTGAGAAAAAATAGGGCGCGAAGTTGATGGTAAGGTTTTCTAATATTAGATGTATGTACATGTAAAGTTTGCGGAAAGCAGGTCGGCATTAGATGTTTGTAGACACTACTTGAAGAGAATCTTAAAGGAAGTCTTTTGATTACATTTTCGTTTAGATATCGGTCTCTTAGTTTAACTCTATGTAGCAAAATGTAAACCTTCCCAATGCCTTTATGAAAAGCAATTGAGTCTTCTAAGGCATTTTAATTACTTGCAAATAAAGGAATAGCGATAAATAGACAGGACAGCTTCACATCTTGACAAAGTAAAACAGGCTGGTTTGTGTGCACATTCATAAGACGGGTAAGCCAAATATTGAATAAGCAAGATAGGTTTGGAAAACAACGAAAAAAATCAACCTCATACAAAGACAAAAAGACGGTCTCACATAACGGCAGAAACCTTACACAACAAAAAATTAGAGACTTACACATACAGACAAAAAGACATACTAAACAACAAAAAGGACTTACCCAACGACAAAAAGACAGACCTACTCAACAACAAAAAATAAAACACCCAAAAAGACAGAAATACTCAACGACAAAAAGACAGAATTACACAAGGACAAAAAGTAAGACTTACACATCGAAAAAAGAAAGACATACTATAACCAAAATGACAAACTTATATAACGACAAAAAGACATACTTAACGACATTAAGACAGAACTACGCAAGGACAAAAACACCGACTTAAACACCGACAAATACGACAATTTCCCACAGTGACAAAAAACACCTCCCTATAACGACATACAAGCGAGACACCCTCCCGTGTCTCAGCATAAGGTCAAATGACACGCCGAACGATATTGTTGTCTAAACAAACAAACGCTGCCAGCCTCACCTTGCAGGTAACAAAAACATCGGGATGTGGGTGCTGCAGGTGCAGGTTGCTGAGCGCCAAATGTTCCCGCAACATCATGATGTCAGCTTGAGATCCTTGCCTGTGCGCGCTGGGGATCAACAAGAACACACGTGACCAGCTGTTGGTGCAGTGGGTGAAGGTGTGGGGGGGGGGGGAATTTTTTACAGTGATACAAACACAAGGTGAATAAAAAAACAATGAGGTAGATTTATGTCTTACATTTGGGGTCGTGAGTAACATAAAGAGTGTGACGACTGGGTCATGGTGACCTTAGTCGAAATTATCTTAGTCATGGTTTTTATTCCTAACTTTGTAAAGGTCATTTTTTTTTTAAAACTAAACTTCAACGAATGAAGAGTTGAATTACTCACATAGGCGAATGAATGTGTCATAAAGTTCGTGTGACGAGTGTTGTAATTTGAGAATAAGGGAGGGCATCCATAGTTAATGGTGCGTTAGAATATGCTGTGGTTATTTTGGGGGATTTTAAAGTTCAAACGGTTGTGAAAAATGAATCTGCACTTTTGAATTAACCCCTTAGTTCCCTGACACCGACATTTAACCCTTTGAGTTCCATGGGGGCGACATGTGAAAATTGTTCATGATTCAATGATGACACATGCTGCGTGATATCATCTGTCGGTACGGGTATGTGACACTTTATGTGTAGGGGGGCGTAGGTGGGGGGATGACGTGGGCTGGGGTGTATGTGTTGTGGGGGATGGTGAACTGTGGAGGATGGGAAGTGGTTACGAGGGTAGATTAATCATCTGAACCTATCTGTAGTGTATATGAGCAAGATTTCATCTAACTCTCTAATATCTCGCGTATGCTTATTTTATTAAGCGAATAATGCATTCGACGCAGAGACAATCAGCAGCAGTTTCTTCAGCCCCCCCCCCCAGAATTTATATAGAAAACATGTCCGCCCCGCCCCCGAAAATGTTCTCCGCCCCTCCCCCCCCCAAATATCAAGTCCCCCCCCCCCCTCCCCCAAAAATGTGTCAGGTAGAAACAGTGTTTGAAAGTGAGCTAACCCCCCCCCCTCCCTTCTGTTGGAGCATGGCTACCCCACCCTCTAAATGAAATTTTTTTAAACATAAATGCTATGTAGTAAGTATATAATTTAAACCAGCGTCCCAACTCTCGCACAACCCCTCCACCCCCCCCCCCCCAGAAATTATATGGATAGCCTCCCCCCTCCCCCCAAAGTTTTAAATCCCCACCTGCACTCCCTAAGAGCTAAGAAACATATCTGGAAAAAAAACTTCTCTGTACATCCAACCAGCCTAGAATCTTATACCACAAAATTTGACCAGGTTATCATTGGTCACTGAAATAGAATAAAAGGTTGTTCTATTTTCAGGAGAAGAATTGGCATCATACAGACATACAAATAAACACAGGGAAGGTTAAACGATGGATTTGTAGCCTCACAAAACACGATGGAGGGCTAAGGAAGATTACTGGCTCACAATCGTAATATCTGGGGGAGAGGGGAAATTGTTGATATAAACTAAATCTGTCATCACGCAAGCAGAGTACTTAAATGCTATTGTGGGTATAGTATTGAGATTGATAGAAAAGTTCTTGTTCTTCTTTGTTCTTAATTGTTAACGTTAAATTGGAATTGGATTACGTGTCAATTTGTTATGCGCCATATAAGCAGTTGTGTCCGATTTCAGCCTGCTTTTCTTTTTTAATTTGCTTCCTTAAACTCTGCCCAGCCAAGAAAAACCTACAAGGCATCAATTGTTTAACTTTTATATGAGTTGCTGTCCCCAGATATCGAGCCTTATCTACACGGGAGTTCAAACTAGGCACTTTAAAGAAACAGCAACAATGAGCTAAGATAGAGAAGTTAAATTTGGACATTTTTTTCAATGTTAAATTAGGATGCAGGTACAGTGATACTGTTCAAATAGTTTCGCACGAAATTGAGAATACCTGCGTCTAGAAAAAAATCACTTGATAATTTTTTTGCGCAAGCTCACGCTTATAGATGTTGATAGGGAGTAAGTGACGAAGGTGGCAGCTAAAACAATCAGTGTTCGCTGCTTTAAAAACTTGCTAATATCAAACAAACGCTCTTCACATCAAATGAAACTTGCCAATATAAAAACAAACGCTCTTCACATTAAATGAAACTTGCCAATATCAAACAAACTCTCTTCACATCAAATGAAACTTGCCAATATCAAACAAATGCTCTTCACATCAAATGAAACATAGCAATATCAAACAAACACTCTTCACATCAAATGAAACTTTCCAATATCAAACAAACGCTCTTCACATCAAATGAAACTTGCCAATATCAAACAAACGCTCTTCACATCAAATGAAACATGCCAATATCAAACAAACGCTCTTCACATCAAATGAAACTTGCCAATATAAAAAAAAATGCTCTTCACATCAAATGAAACTTGCCAAAATCAAACAAACGCTCTTCACATCAAATGAAACTTGCCAATATCAAACAAACGCTCTTCACATCAAATGAAAATTGCCAAAATCAAACCGGACTCTCAACGGAAAGACAGGCAAGTAGGCTCAAACGACAGCTGGACCGTGGTCAAAATCTTTAGCAAACTTCTGCGAAATGCGACCAATCCTCCACATTTCCTTCCTGTTGTTTATTCTGGCAGGTTATTCCTCTTCTTCGGTATTGAAGATAACATTTCAAAAGATGTCCTCAAACACAATAAAGCATTACACATGTTATGCCACATCACCAGCTGACTGCGATTCCGGTGTTCTTTTCGTTCTGATTTTGATTTTATAACTTTTGTCGACCCAAGAACAATCTGCAAAGCATCAGCTAACTTGCCTCATCTACCCGGGGTCTGAACTCAGGACTTTTGGATTTCGCCATCATACTCTATCGCGCCCGACCAAGTAACCCTGACGAAAACTCTATGTATGTGTACTAGATGCGTTAATTGTGTCTTGTGTTTTGTTCAATATGTTCTCAAGTCAAAAATATTGTATCACATATGGTGAATCGTGTGAGGTACGTTGTGTTGTAAGCAGTAGTATTGACAATACATTTATTTTCTGTTATTTCTGATGTGATGTGTAAATAAAATAAATCGCATCAAAACGATTGAATTTCTCCTGTGAACGAATTATAAAATCTCTCACGTTCATATCCCACTTGAATAGCATGCCAGACAATGTGAACATCATTGGTAATGCTGTGGAGATTCATGGAAACACATTCATTAGACAGGGAAACAACCACTGCGCATGTCTACCGGGGGGATCCAGAGAACAAAAGCCTTTAAAGCGGGGCGTTGGTGTTTGCTCAGCCCTGGAGCATGTGGGGGAAGTCTTGGCGGGAAAACTTTGATCGTCTGCCGGCAACAGGTGGGCGTGGCATGGGCTCCGGGACTTGTCTTTGACGGCTGCTGTTGTAAAAAGTTCACACAGCATTTCCTTGGTGATGCGCGTGCAGTGACGTCATTACTTCATCCTTGCACCGTTACAATGACGTCACTTTTTGTAGATTCCCCAGTACAATGATGTCACTGTTTCATAGATGCACTAGTACTCTGATGTAATCACATAAAAAAGAGCTCGTAAACTGACGTCATTACATTAGAGCTACGCCGTTACGTTGACGCCATTTTTAGTAGATGCACTAGTACATTGAAGTCATTGTTTCTTAGATGCACTCGTACACTGATGAAATCGCACAAAAGATGAACCCGTAAACTGACGTCATTATTTCATAGATACACTAGTATACACCAATACAGCGGCGCCATAGTTGTGTAGATGCGCCCTTACAGGGACGATTTAATGACCGACGGGTGCATTGATCTCCATGATAAAATCTATCTCCTCCCACTCCGTGACGTCAAAACTATTTATTTTATTATACGGGCTCAACAACGAAGTGGTAAAGCTAATTAATGGTATAATGACGTCAGCGTGTACCTTATACATTGACGTCATTACCCAATTATAGCACGCTTACTTTGCAGAGATGCCAAAAAATATACACATACGTGTGTGTGAATAATTCAATAAAATCTAGTAATAATTTCGTAAGCACGTTTATAATAATTAACAGTTTATTTACTTGTGAATAAAACATAACCGATAGGATCAAACAGAATAAAACATGTTCCACCTATTCCGAGTTAAGAAATTGTGTGTAGGTCTGCTATTTGAGCCACTCATTCATTTCAACCAATCACCTGCCGAGTTATCAGGCGACACGAGGCCGGCACGCGCTCAACAAACATCCCGCAGACGGACTGACACAGGTGTCGACGGATATACCTGGCCGGATAAAATTTCATTCAAGTTTTAATTAACTGATTAGTAATCTAAGAGCTTAACCCACACCGCAGGGGGAAGTAATCCGTAGATTGCCAATCAAGCCAATTACGGCCAATTTATTTCAGCTCACGTTTTATTTCTGACAGCGAGTCCTAAATTATTAGCAGATAGTCGTCTCCCTTTACTAAATTTTTCTTAAGCCTATAACCTTTTTTTATTTTTATGCATACGATCTTAAACCAAATAGACATCATTTTGTTGCTTTATAGATAAAAACATTTTTTTTAATTTAATAACATGAATCCAAGTAGATGTCTATGTCCGCGTGTAACTCTGTCTAATTCTAGAACCCGTACACCCCCGGTACCCAACAGACTTCCCTGCCCCTGGGTGAGTATTAGCCCCCCCCCCCCCCCAACCCCGACCCACTCATCCCCTCCCTAATGATGTTTCAACGCTCTGACGCCAGACCCCAGTGTGGGGTTGTGCCGTCTGCTTCAGGCAGGCTGTTCGATGGCTAAACCACGTTTACTGGGAACAGCAATTAGATGTTGTCGGGCCAGTCGAGTTGCTGATGGTGAGGGTTGAAAGACATACTATTAGCGGTACCAGCCCTGTCTGTCTTCGTACAGACCAGGGAGGGAGGCGGTTTTTTTTCGTCTTTATATATATATATATATATATATATATATACATATATATATATATATATATATATATATATATATATATATATATATATATATATATATATATATATATACATGTCTCTATACATATATGTATATATA